TTTATATAAAAATTAAAATGAAACAAGTAAATGAGCCAAGATTACATTAATGGTAAGTGAAAGAAAGATCAAACTGACCTACTGTTGCAGAGTGGAAAGTCGTGCTGCCGTCAACGACGTTCCTGCTTCCGGTGATGATGGTATTGGTCCTTCCATCTCCGACGAACATGAGGCTTGTCTTCTTCTTTGGGACCTCCACATTTTCCTTATATACACCAGCTTTAATCTTTATAACATACCTCCTAGTGCTCCCCTCAGGCGCTGCAGCCACCGCTTCCGCCACCGTACGAAAGTTACCACTCCCATCAGCCGCCACAGTAACGTCAGGAACCACCGCTGGCGCCTGAAGCAGCCTCCTGTCCCCCGCCGACAACCATTCCGGCCATTTCATTCCAATTTGCTCTTCAAGCTATAATTATAATTTTATAAATTATGAGGTTGATCGAATTTTTACTGAGTAAGAAATTTCTGAGTTAATTTTGGGAAAATAATAAAAACCTTTTTTCTTGAAGTGGCCTGAGACTTTGTGTCGGTGAAGTTCTTGATCATGGCCAGTACATTGCTTGACATATTGAACACCTTCAGCTGCCCTTCGATCAAAGCTTTGCGCACCTTCTTGTCCGCCTTCTCGTGAGAGAATCCGTCGAGGCAGGTTTCTTGGTTGGTCATGGCGGCGCTGAGGAGGCTCTTGAGGTCTTCGGCGTGTTTCTGTACGGACTCATGGACTTCCCCGTCACACTTGTTCAGCTCATCCAGCGTTTCGTCCACCAGTTCGAGGCAGTCTTTGAGGGCAGTCCTCTCGCGTTCAGTCAGGCCCACAGCGTTGCTGTTTAGTTTCTTGATTGCAAGGTAGTTGTGCTGAACGGTGGCGATGGTCATGTTAAGCGCGATTTCAATCACGTCCTCTGGGGTCTGGACCTTGGATGCAGCGTCTGGGGCGGCGTAGAGTGTTGAGAGGCACAATTCCGGGTACAATGTGGAGCCGCATGAGGATTTGATGATGGCATGGTATGCAACAGTGGCAGTTCTGCTCCCAGATTTCCTATTGGAGGCTGTTGCTTCGGCGGTGATTGTGGAAACGAAGACAGTCAGTAGGAGGAGACGGTCGAAAAGGACCAAGAAGAGCCTTTTGTTGCTCTTGGAGGCGGCAGTCCGTGGCCGTAAGTTTGTCATCTTAAGGGGTAACCAAGTAAATATAGTCCGTATAGCTGAAGGCTGAAGGCTGAAGGCTGAATGCTTAAAGCTTGACTACCGATCTTTATAGCTTAGACAAGCTGTACTGCGGTATATATATTACAGTAGCAGGATGGAGGAGAGTTACCTGAAATTACTTGTGTTATGACTCTAATTGGACTGGATTTCTTAATTTTTTGTTTTGTTTTTTTTATTATTGTATTAATTTTTTCTTGTTTTATTTCTCACTTCGCTCTCTCTCTCTCTTTTTTTTTTTTAACACAGCAAAAATGGGAGAATTTAACCAAAGTCATACGGGCATTTATATAAAATTTTTATCATTGATAAGAACAAATGAAAACAAAGAGTACAACTGAAGATAAAATTAAGGAGAGATCAAGTTTAAAGGTAAATTTAAAGAAAGACAATTATAATAAATCACATGAACAACCTATAAGCAAATAATCTTACAATATGTGGTGTATATCTATTGTTACTTTATTAACATATTAAGTTAGATTATTAATTTATGAACAACTTTGATTTTGAAATTTTGGGATATATATAGTGTGACCATTTTTCAGAAATTGAAGCTTGGTGTATATAAGCTGGATTGGTGAGTAACAACGCCAATGGCAAGGCCAAGTTTAACCTGTAAATTTCTTTTATTTTTATTTTTCCTTTCAAATGTTCAACAATGATCATATGTATGGTGCATTAATTCGGCTTTGGGTATCAGCCTTGAGCATGTTAGCATAAAATGGGCCCAAAACAATCGCGTTCCATTCCCATTGGTAGGTTCCCATTGGTAGGTTTAACTGGGCTGAGTATTGGATAAGGATGTATTTATTATTTATAAATATTTTATTTATTTAAATAAATATTATATTTAAATTATAAAAAAATAATTAGGTAAATA